ACACACACACACACACACACACACACACACACACACACACACACACGTGTGTATGTGTGTATGTGTGTGTGTATGTATATATGTATATGTATATGTGTATGTATGTATGTATGTGTATGTGTGTATGTATATATGTATATGTGTATGTATGTATGTATGTATATGTATATGTATATGTATATGTATATGTATATGTATATGTATGTATGTATGTATGTATGTATGTATATGTGTATGTATGTATGTATATATATATGTTTTTTTATTTGTGCTGATAAATAAATAAAGGGAGACTATATATAACAAAGGCAACAGTAAAAATATTGGGTTTCTGTCGTGATGGACTCTTGTGACGAGCCGAAGGACAGATGATGGAAGCAGTTAGCTTATATAAAAATGGGGGCAGAGGAGGAAGAGACGGTTGATCGTGCAAACATTTGGGTCCCAGAGGCCCTAAAATACTCAGTAAATCCCAACAGCAGCTCACAGGTGTGAGGATGCTAGTCTGAAAATCATTGTTCTGCTTGCTTTGTTCCACAGCTCTTAACCACAGGAAATTCTTCCAGATGTTGCCTGAATCTCCTTTCTATTCATTTGCAGCCCCCGGTCTTTGTCGGAGTCTGAATTTCAATGATGAATAGGTCGTACAGCAACCTCTTGCAACCGAGAAATTTTTAGATAGAGCACTACCTTTTTTTCTTTTTTATCCCACCTTTATTATTTTTAAATAACTCAAGGTGGCAAGCATAGCCACTACTCCTTACTCCTTCTCATGTTCCCCAAAACAACCCTGTGAAGTAAGGTGAAGTCGACTGAGAAAGAGTAACTGGCCCAAAGTCAGCTTTCATGCTTAAGAGAGGACCAGAACTCACCATCTCCTGGTGCCCCTCATCAACCAAACTGGTTCTCTATAACAGTGATGGTGAACCTTTTCGGCATGTTGCATGGAAATGTCATGCGTGTGCGCACTCGTCAAGGCCACACTCCGGAGAAGCCAAACTTCCGTGTTCTAGTGCTCATGTGCGCCCGACGATCAGCTGGCCGGTGTGCATGCGCAGGCTGGTTTTCGGCACTGCCACATGTGCTAAGGGATCGCACTCCGGAAAAGCCAAACTTCTGGGTCCTAACACGCATGCACACCCAAAAATCAGGTAGCTGGCACGTATCTGCAGGCTGGTTTTCGGCACTGCCACATGTGCTAAGGGATCGCACTCCGGAAAAGCCAAACTTCTGGGTCCTAACACGCATGCACACCCAAAAATCAGTTGGCTGGCACGCCTCCGCACACCGGTTTTTGCCACTGCTGCATGCGAGAAGGACAACTGACTGTCGCGAGCGCATGCATGCCAGAAACCCAGAAGACAAACAGGCAAGGCTGTGCGTGCCGGGCGCCATGCGTGCTACTTTGGGCACGCGTGCCATAGCCTCACCATCACGGCTCTATAAGATGAGGTTCAGATTTTTTAATGGTTATTTGGTGAGCTTGGTGTTCAGCATCCCTTTTCTGGCTCTGTTCAAGTGTATCCATATCCCTTTCAATATCCCTGTCCAGAACTGAATATAATATCTAACCAGGACAAAGTCATGTGGAAGCAGTGTTGTGTAAGACAGAGCTTTTGACTGAAAAGTCAAGTATATCCCAAAGTAGTTTTAAAAATAATGAGACAAAAACTGTCTATTTGGCAAAATAGAAGCCAAATGAGCGCATGAAACCCTCTCACCCTTCCCTTCTACCCAACCCTCTCAATGGTACCTACTTGGGTGGGCAGAGGACTTCTTCGAGGAACTCTTCAATCTTGTTCACGTCAGTTTTCACTTCGTTATTAAAGGTGATGAAAGGCGGGTGTGTCCCCGGAGCCAAGTTCTGAAGGTCTGTAGGCTTCCTGAGACAGAGATTGGCATACATTAAAAACCGTTCAAGGAATTCCCCCAAATCATACCTCGCACTGTCATCGGCAACGTAACATGCCCAAGGACCCTGGGAATCATTACTGTTGGAAGACTGCAGGGGTGGGTTTTCCCCCAGGCCTTTCCCTACCCAAACTAGGAAACACCATGAGTGCACTGAGGATGCTACCTAGTTTGGCTAATGAAAACATCTGCAAGAAAACCACCCCAACTTAGAGAGCACCAAGGATTCCTCGTTCGCCATTCCTTTCTCACCTGTTTTGCATGCGTTGGGAGAAAAGCTCAGAGATGAAATACAAACAGATTCAGTATTAAAAGGAAAAAAAAACACACTATCCCATCAAGGCTGGAAAAACAGAGGTGCCCCTTAACCTTCTTTGATAAAAATCAAAGAAAGGAAATAGCATTCTTCGGCATTTACTCTCATTTCAGTACAGATAGGTGAAGCCCTTTCGGTCTCCAAATAATATTTCCAAATAAGGCAAGGGTGGATGTGTAGGCTGTAAATCTCTTTGGAAAGTGACAGCAGTGGATCTGCAGGGGGGAAAGCAAGCCAATTCCCCCTCCCCCTCCGCCCCCAAATAGCTGCCTGCCTGTCGTCAAGTCTGCTTCCTCTTGGAACAGGGCTGGCTTCACAAGTTCATATCAGAGGCTGTCACTGCTGCTATCACAAGACATTAGCTAAAGGTGCCTCTCACAAATATGTGCTAGTTGTTCCCCACTCGTTCCCAGTTTATATATATGTGTGTGTGTGTGTGTGTGTGTGTGTGTGTGTGTGTGTGTGTGTGTGTGTGTGTGTGTGTGTGTGTGT